TCGTTATAAGGGGCCTGGACGACACTTTATTTAATTAAAATTAAAATCATTTTCCTCTTACCCAAACACCGACTTTTAATAATGCCTCCCTTTCATAGCCACGTCACCTTCCACACCACGTGACATTACAAACTTGCCACAATTTAGAACAACATTCCTTTCATGGGAACGTGTCAAGGGGCTCTGTGTTGTGGTTGACTGCGATGATGGAAGCAATAATTTGTGGTTGTTACTCATTGGGTGTTGACTGATGTGAAAAACTACTGGATATCTGTGGAAAAAGAGCTTCATAGCCCATCGGATTCCTTCATTATAAATATTCTGATTCTAACGATCTAAACTATGAACTAGACGATTTTTATTTTATCAGGAAAGGCCCACTGAGCTATATAGCCTTTCAGAAGCGACCTGACCACAAATGATAGCGAAACGTAGTGGCTTATCATGTGGAAATGTATAGCAGACAAATACTCTAAACGCATGTTTCCAAATGTGGAGGGGGAAATCAGAGAGCCTGGAGAAAAATCCACGCGGCCACGGAGAGAACATGTAAATTCTAATTTTACAGGTATCAGGGTCTTGATTGAACCCACGGCCTCCTGCATACCAGGCAAGGTACAGTGAGGGAAAAAAGTATTTGATCCCCTGCTGATTTTGTACGTTTGCCCACTGACAAATAAATTATCAGTCTATAATGTAAATGGTAGGTTTATTTGAACAGTGGGAGACAGAATAACAACAAAAAAATCCAGAAAAACGCATATCAAAAATGTTGTAAATTGATGTGCATATTAATGAGGGAAATAAGTATTTGACCCCCTCTCAATCAGAAAGATTTCTGGCTCCCAGGTGTCTTTTATACAGGTAACGAGCTGAGATTAGGAGCGCACTCTTCAAGGGAGTGCTCCTAATCTCAGCTCGTTACCTGTATAAAGGACACCTGTCCACAGAAGCAATCAATCAGATTCCAAACTCTCCACCATGGCCAATACTAGAGCTCTCCAAGGATGTCAGGGACAAGATTATAGACCTACACAAGGCTGGAATGAGCTACAAGACCATTGCCAAGCAGCTTGGTGAGAAGGTGACAACATACTCTTTGGTTTTATTCGGTAAAGTCACGTAGGTAAAACGAATTAAAATAAAATAAACAAATTTCCATTTAAAGCTTTCGTGACTGCAAGAATTCATCTTCTTTGGTTCTTTCGGTAAAGTCACGTAGAATGAGAATAAAATAATAAAATAACACAACAAAATTCTCACGACGTTTCGGCCAAAATGCAAGCGGCCGTCTTCAGGTGAAAGGTACAGAACTTTACCGAAAGAACCAAAGAAGATAAAATAAAAAATGTAAACACGACGTTTCGGAGGCAACGCAAGCTTCCGTCTTCAGGTGGGACCAGTCACAGCCAAAATCGCTGCACCAAGTGGCGAGGCACTGGGAACCTAGCGCTTAAATACAGGTTAAGGTAGGGGGGGGGGGGTGTAGCAGGGGCCATGTGGGGGGACTTTAGTGGGGTGCGGAGGGGGGATGGGTCGTTGTGTGTGTGCAGGGATGAGTTAATCCGTCTTTTGTTGTGTGTAGGGTGCGGGAGATGGGTCACTGTGTGTGTGTGCAATATAAACGGAGTTAATCCTTCTTTTGTTGTGTAGAGGGAGCGGGGGATGGGTCGTTGTGTGTGTGCAGGGATGAGTTAATCCGTCTTTTGTTGTGTGTAGGGTGCGGGAGATGGGTCACTGTGTGTGTGCAATATAAACGGACAGAATATCGGCCAAGATGTGCTGTAAGGGGGCAGTAGAAAAAGGAAAATAGAAAAGTTCGGAAAGAATATGTTTGGTATACCACTGCTTGAAATTGCTGTTAGCAATTAGTTAGTGTTTGGTATGATTCAAAACGTCTTTCCAGTGGTTGCTTAATTTGAAGCCATCCTCTCGATTGAAATGATGCCTGTGTTTGTATATCTAAATGGCTTCGTGGACAAATCTTTGGTGATAACCTGTAGGTTTACAAAGAACCTTGGTATCGGAAAAGACAATCTCATGATCACCCATAGCGTTGTAACAGTGATCAGCCACAGCAGATGAATTCGTTCTGCCGTGTTTCAAATCTGATTTATGTTCGCGAATTCGGTCAGAGATATGTCGTTTCGTCTCCCCGATATAATAATCACCACAGGTACAGCTCAATTTGTAAACACCGGGGTACTGTAAGTCAGGGATGACATCCTTTACGGATGGGATCAGATCACGAATTTTGTGTACTGTATTGAACCGGACTTGGATCTTGTGTTTGTTTAGAATTTTGGAAATCTTTTAGCAACGCCTGCTATGTAAGGTAGTGTGATGGTTTTGATTGGAGTATCAGGTGGTTGTTTCTGTATGGTAGGAGAAACAGCTTGGGGGATGGTACGGTCAGAGTATCCGTTCCTCCTAAGGGCCAGCCGTACCAATTTTAATTCACTGGTCAAGTGGTGTTGGTTTGAAATGCAATGAGCCCTATGGTGTAACGTTTTGATGAGAGAGTTCTTTTGAGCCGGGTGGTGGTCGGAATCCGGTTTCAAGTAGGAATATGCGTGGGTGGGTTTTCTGTAAACAGAATGTCCCAACGAGCCATAAGACCTCCTCTCAAACAGAACATCCAAGAATGGAAGCTTGCCATCTTTCTCTATTTCCATGGTGAATCTGATGGAATGGTGTCTGGAATTGATGTGGTCCAGGAAAAGGTTCAAAGCTGGGAGGCCATGTGGCCAAATGACGAAAGTGTCATCCACATATCTCTTCCAAAGGGAAGGACTGAGGGTGAATGTCTGGATGGCGTCTGATTCAAATTTCTCCATGAAAACATTGGCTATCACTGGTGACAAGGGAGAACCCATGGGAGTACCCTCATTTTGCTTGTAAAAGGTACCATTCCAAGTAAAGTAGGTGTTGGTAAGGCAGTACCTAACCAGCGCAGGTACTTCGGGGTTTAGTCCATGTTGAACCAGATCCTCAATTATTTTAATGGTGTCAAGTACTGGGACCTTGGTGAACAGAGACACCACATCAAAGCTGACGAGGATATCGTCAGGGGCCAGTACATACCAAACACTAACTAATTTCTAACAGCAATTTCAAGCAGTGGTATACCAAACATATTCTTTCCGAACTTTTCTATTTTCCTTTTTCTCCTGCCCCCTTACAGCACATCCTGGCCGATATTCTGTCCGTTTATATTGCACACACACAGTGACCCATCTCCCGCGCCCGCCACACAACAAAAGACGGATTAACTCATCCCTGCACACACACAACGACCCATCCCCCACTCTCTCTACACAACAAAAGAAGGATTAATTCCGTTCATATTGCACACACACAGTGACCCATCTCCCGCACCCTACACACAACAAAAGACGGATTAACTCATCCCTGCACACACACAACGACCCATCCCCCCTCCGCACCCCACTAAAGTCCCCCCACATGGCCCCTCCCACACCCCCCCCCCTACCTTAACCTGTATTTAAGCGCTAGGTTCCCAGAGCCTCGCCACTTGGTGCAGCAATTTTGGCTGTGACTAGTCCCACCTGAAGACGGAAGCTTGCGTTGCCTCCGAAACGTCGTGTTTTAATTGTTTATTTTATTTTAATTCGTTTTACCTACGTGACTTTACCCAATAAAACCAAAGAGTATGAATCCTTGCAGTCACGAAAGCTTCAAATCTAGAATTAAGGTGACAACAGTTAGTGTGATTATTCGCAAATGGAAGAAACACAAAAGAGCTGTCAATCTCCCTCGGCCTAGGGCTCCATGCAAGATCTCACCTCGTGGATATGCAATGATCATGAGAACGGTGAGGAATCAGACCAGAACTACACGGGAGGATCTTGTCAATGATCTCAAGGCAGCTGGGACCATCGTCACCAAGAAAACAATTGGTAACACACTACGCCGTGAAGGACTGAAATTCTGCAGCGCCCGCAAGGTCCCCCTGCTCAAGAAAGCACATATACATGGCCGTCTGAAGTTTGCCAATGAACATCTGAATGATTCAGAGGACAACTGGGTGAAAGTGTTGTGGTCAGATGAGACCAAAATGGAGCTCTTTGGCATCAACTCAACTCGCCGTGTTTGGAGGAGGAGGAGGAATGCTGCCTATGACCCCAAGAACACCATCCCCACCGTCAAACATGGAGGTGGAAACATTATGCTTTGGGGGTGTTTTTCTGCTAAGGGGACAGGACAACTTCACCGCATCAAAGGGACGATGGACGGGGCCATGTACCGTCAAATCTTGGGTGAGAACCTCCTTCCCTCAGCCAGGGCATTGAAAATGGGTCGTGGATGGGTATTCCAGCATGACAATGACCCAAAACACACGGCCAAGGCAACAAAGGAGTGGCTCAAGAAGAAGCACATTAAGGTCCTGGAGTGGCCTAGCCAGTCTCCAGACCTTAATCCCATAGAAAATCTGTGGAGGGAGCTGAAGGTTCGAGTTGCCAAACGTCAGCCTCGAAACCTTAATGACTTGGAGAAGATCTGCAAAGAGGAGTGGGACAAAATCCCTCCTGAGATGTGTGGCCAACTACAAGAAACGTCTGACCTCTGTGATTGCCAACAAGGGTTTTTCCACCAAGTACTAAGTCATGTTTTGCAGAGGGGTCAAATACTTATTTCCCACATTAAAATGCAAATCAATTTATAACATTTTTGACATGCGTTTTTCTGGATTTTTCTGTTGTTATTCTGTCTCTCACTGTTCAAATAAACCTACCATTAAAATTATAGACTGATAATTTCTTTGTCAATGGGCAAACTTATAAAATCAGCAGGTGATCAAATGCTTTTTTTCCTCACTGTATGGTGTGTGTGGTTCATTGGTATGGAGTGTGCGGTGCATCAGGGTGGTATGTGTGGTGCATCAGGGTGGTGCGCGTGGCACATTGGTATGGAGTGTGTGGTGCATCAGGAGACCTCGGGGAGCATCAGGTTCCCACGTCGCATCTCGCATCTCCTACCTGCAGTCCCCTGCAGCACGCCCAGCAGCGCCAGCGCGCAGAGAAGAAGCGGCACAGCAGACGCCAGGCTCATCGTGGCCAAGGCCATCTCCAAACGGCCTGCACTGGAAAAGTCAACTTGCGGGACGAAGCAAAAAAACACACACACACACGCAACGAAACAGGGGGAGTGAGAGGGGGGCTTAGGGAAGAATTGGGGAGAGATGGAAAGAGACGGGGAGAGAGTGCGGGAGCGAGGAAGAGAAGTGGAGCACGTCGGAATGTACCGCGGAGGGATGAACAGGAGCCTGCAGCCAGGTCACTCCGTTTTTAAAGGCGGCCCTGTGCTCACCGATGGCTGGTGAGGGGTGAGGAGGGGGGTGAGGGTGGGGTGCAATGTGTGCCCACTCACGCAACTCCCCCCCCACTCTCCCCCGACCCTTCCCGCGCCGAGCTAAAGGGTCCGGGTGCTGAGGCAGCAGGCGGAGTCTCGTGACTGCAACCCGTCCAAGTGGTGGCATGGACGGCCGAGGCGAGAGAGTAGAGTGACGCGATGGGTTTTATGCTCCCTTGCATCGGGCTGCAGTTTAAAGAGTACCCAATGTGGGTAAATATTCCCTCTATGAATCGTGTCTCGTTAGGGATTACGCTTTGCTTTGTGTCACCCGCAGAACTGTAAAGAGGCGGCAGCGGCAGCAGCTTTGGACATTTCAACAGCCAAAGTTGCTGTAAAACAATGATAAAGGGTAATGGGGGAAGGATTGAAGTGACCGGCTGGGTGGCACACGCGGTCAGAGCGCTAAGTTCGAACCCAGTTGTGATGACGCCGGGTCCTCAATTGTCGTGAATCGGTGGCATGCGCCCAAAAATGCGGTTGTACTTTTAGATCAAAGTTACGTCTGAGGAAATCTTAAAAACAAAACTCGGGTTAGCTCACGCGACGAAGACCCGGAGTAAAATCCATGAGGCCACGAGGAGAACATGCAAATTCCATTTTTACAGGTGTCAGGGTCGGGATCAAACCCACGACCTGCTGCATGAGTCTCTGCCAGGTAAGGCAGTGAACATTTCGCCACTGTGGTGGCCCTGGCGATGTGATGTCTAGGTAGAGATGCGTGCCTTCGAGTAGCTCTGTGATATCCACTTCTGTGGAGACGTTCTTATAACGCGATGGAGTTGCGTCTGCTGGAGGTGAAAATGAGAACGTTCCGTCTCGCTAAACGACTCCCCCTGCAAGACAACCGCAATAAACATGGTGGGGGAAACGACAGTCATAACATGAATGAAATACTCATAATAAACTCAGTTGTATAAAGTGCATTTAAAAATGAGTAACCAGGTAAAAAACACACGCACACATTGAGAAATGCAATGAAATGTGGCAAGGTCCGCTTAAAACAAAACCTTGCTTTGAGTCTCGTGCACAGCAGTAAAACAGCACCCACCCGGTGGCCTCCGCGTTCTAGTCGTGGGTGGCAGAGCGCGCACCTCCCACACCACCACCCTGCCACACACGGACAGCACAAGGGAGGAACAAGGGAGGAAACTTGCATTTATACGTCTTGAGCAACTTATTAGTCTCATTTGCTTCATTTAAATTTGTGATTTTATTACAATGCTATTGTATTGTGCTTCACGTAAACAGAATTAATCGTTGGCAAACGCTACAACAACAACAAAGGGTCACGGCAACTTTCACCAACGTACCCCACACACTCCCCCGGAGCCGCGACCCAGCAGGGACAGAGAAAACTTACAAAGTTGTGGACTCAGCAAGAGAATCAGGAATATGTCTGTACTGTCCGCAGCATTCCCCAAGTTAAACTCAACGTCTGGTGCCGCTGCTGTGTTGCCAGTGGTGCACAACCACAACTCGCATAACAATCGACTCGACACGGTGCATCAATAACGCACCGTGTGAGTGCGCGTGGCCTCGATGGAGGAGGCTCGTGAAGGATGCTACTGGGCAGGTGGAGGCAGTCGCCCCCAATAACAACGGAGGGCGGAGGAGTGACGCTCACAACAGCGAGCGGAGCGTCGGATAAAATATCAGAGTAGGGGGGCACAGGTGGTGCATCTTCCAGCCATCGCAGTCAACCCATGTCACCTGCTGGGTCTGTCCCGTGATCTCCTGTGAGCAGTTCACTTCACGTGGCCTCAAAGTGCACCTGGCCTGGCACAGGTGCCGTGGTGACGTATGGCGTTTGTTGTTTTTTGAAGAGGAAACATGTACGTACTGTACAGTGTGGTCCAAATGTCTTGTGACCCCAAATTCATTGCCCCCTAAAAGTTTTTCCTTTGAATGTTCACTTCTGTTTCAAATAAACTTTGCTTCCAAAAATATGACATTTTAAAGAATTAAATGGGGGTCATAAAGACATCTGAACCACCATGTAGAACAGTGTCCCTCACTAATTTTCAGAGGGGGCCACTTTCACGGAAAAGACATCACCAGTGTGAGGACCGCCACATCTTTGACACCATTGTTGGGTTTGACAGCACTACGATGATGGGGGTTGTTTTCACATTTGTGTATAGAGACCCATAGAGTTATATAGAGACTCATAGATTACATAGAGACCCATAGTTATAGATAGTTATAGACTCATAGATTAGAGTCTCATAGAGTTATACATAGACCCATAGATTACATAAAGACCCATATAGTTATACGGAGACCCATAGATTGCATAGATACCCATATATTACAGAGGTCCATAGACTTACATAGATACCCATAAAGTTACAAAGAGACGCACAGACGAAGACTCTATTATCTCAGCTGGTGAGGCCCCATTGAGCCAAGCAACTATCTTACAATGATGGCCACAACCCAAAAGCGTTGGCGGTGGCGGCAGCTACAGCACCTGCCAGAGGTCTGCGCGATCATGTGAATAACGAGCTGACTTATAAACCTCTATGAGCCACGAGCCCTCTCTCGGAGTTCAACTCTATTATACAAACTCAACATTCTCTCTTGTATGTTTTCACGTAACCTGACAGACGCCTGACTAGTCCGGCGTCTGTCAGGTTACAGTTTAGAGCAAACTTCACAGTTTAGAGCAAACTTCACAGTTTATAGCAAACTTCACAGTTTAGAGCAAACTTTCCACATTCTCTAGCGACCTTCTGATATTGTGTCAGCTACTTATTTCAGTTAATTTATTTCAGTTTATTTATTTGGTATAGCCCTGTGAGCCATTCGGCTCTTGAATCGGGTGCAACCACAACAGACAAAAAACAAAAACACGAACAAGAAAACATCTTAAAGTGACTATGTGACCGTGCAAACAGAAAATCCATGAAAAAAAAACAGCAAAATATTCCTGAAAAAGCACCGTACACCAACGCTGTGTGCAAAAATCCCAGTGGGATGCAAGTAAAACAACAACAACAACCACAAGAAAACTTAGATTAAGGCCATCAGTCTAACTCCGTACGACAACAAAACAAACATGTCCAAACCAAAAAACGTTTTAGAATTCACCAAAAAATAAAGGCATAATTGCAATGTAACAGTGATCATAGGGACTGTGACCAAATTTTTTTTACAATAAACTACATAAATATCATGTAACACCAAACCATAGAGCCATAGCTGGCTGCATGAGTTTCTCCACAACAACAGAAGCATCAATAAGAGTATCAAATTTTTCAATGCACCTTTAAGATCAGCGCGCTAAATCAAAATACAGATAATACTTTGCAGGGTCATCCGGAGCGAAAAATTTTATTTTATTTTACGCCAATGAATAGCAGTGGCAGCTAGGGGCGTACAACTCCTCTAGAGCAGTTTTGAGAGAAGATCTCATTGGTAGTGATTCAAGTTGCATTTTATTGGCAATAGCATTCCAGACCCTGGGGGCATCAATAGCAAAGGCCCTTTCTCCAGTTTTTGTACGGCAATAGGGAATGTGAAGCTGGTAAATGAGCGAAGACCTGAAGTCAATTTTTTTCTTTGAAACAGAGAGGAGATCCAGTAGGTAGTCTGCGGATTTTTTTGTAAGTACATCGTGAATAAATAAGATCTGGTGCACAAGCCGTCGAACATTAAGAGATGTTAAGGTTGACCCAATGTAGAGATGACAGTGGTGAGTCCTATATGGGCAGTTCAATGTAAATCTTAAGGCCGAGTGATAGATGGAATCAAGCTTCTTCAGTACAGTACTTGGGGCTGATTTATACACGATGTCACAGTAATCAAGTAGAGGCAGTATGGTAGCTTTTATCAATTCCAAACGGAACATAGGGGGGAAGCAGTGCTTGTGTCGATACAGAAAACCAATTTTAATTTTTGTCTTTTTACCAATATAAACAATGTGATCTTCAAAATTCAGTTTTGAATCCAGGATGACCCAAAATGAATTATAGATCTTGACTTGCTCTATTTGATAATTATTTAAGGAATGTGATTGGGGAAAAACAACTTCCTGCTTTAGTCCTGGTGAGAAGCATAGCACCTTGGTTTTTGAGGTAATCAGGGCTAGTTTAAGAGCAACTAGCTGATGTTGTAGTTTGTTGAAATCACCCTGGAGCTTAGCAATCACCTCATCCGGAGAGCGGCCAGCAGTAATCAGTATCGTGTCATCTGCAAAAAGATTTACCCTGGAATGATCCAGGTCAGTGCCCAAGTCATTGACATAAAGAGAGAACAAAAGGGGGCCAAGGATGGAACCCTGTGGAACCCCTTTTGTTATCTTAACACTGTTTGACCTCCAACCATCTGTGAATAGAGTTTGGGTGCGAGAAAAGAGGTAATTTTGTAACCATTTTACTGCGTGTTTGGAGAAACCAAGGCAACTTAGTTTACTAAGCAGGGTGTTGTGGTCAACTGTATCAAAAGCTTTGGACAGTCTTCTTTGGTTCTTTCGGTAAAGTCACGTAGAATGAGAATAAAATAATAAATTGATAAAATAAAATAACACAATAATATTCTCACGACGTTTCGGCCACAACACAAGCGGCCTTCATCAGGTGAAGGGACGAGACTGTCTGGTAAGACAGCGCTGGAGTGAAAAAAGCCACGTTCAGATCACGACCTTTAAGCTGTGTCAGAAGAAACAAAGCGCCTTGACAAAGGAATTAGCATATAATTTAGCATTGAAATGGCCGAGTGATTAGCTTGTGACTGGTCACAGAAATTGCTATGTTAAAGTTAAAGCATACACATCCACAGAGGCACCCCTTGACAAAGGAATTAGCATAGAATTTGGCATTGAAATAGCTAAGTTAAAGCATACACATCCGCAGAGGCACCCCTTGACAAAGGAATTAGCATAGA